ATTAACTACTTCAATTACTTTATTCGAATCACACAAGAATTTTAAATCAACTATGTATAAAATATGATCTACTTTGATTGAATTAATATCAATATCATTTAATTATCTGATATGATAATTTGATAGATAATAAACACCAAAGAGAATTGTATTATAATATCTCAGATTTTAATTTAACATACTCTAAATTATTATTATTATTATTATAAATATATCCCATCTTAATACACAATCTATTGCACATACATTCAATTAAATGTGATATTGTATTATTAATATTAAAATAATTCATTAAATATTATTCATTTATGATTTATACAATCATATGTATTCTTTATATCATAGAATATCTCATAAATCTTTTTTTAAATTCAAATTCTTTAATTGTTAGATAATTTTAACAATAAATTCTTTTGATATTAAATATATTTCTTTACACCATTTGAAATTTATCTAATTTGTATTCAACAACATTTAATTGTAATTAGTGAGTGATTTTACTTTTAATGAATGATGTAAATAAATTTTCATTAACACATTAAGACAACATATTTGTCTATAGTTCTCTGGTGATTTAGAATCACTACCATTATAAATTAATCTTATTTTTCCAACTACCATCTGCACGGTGATACAATCATGATGAACAAAAATAAGCGAACATCTAAATAAAACCACAAAAAGAAAAATGAATAAAATAAATTATATCAATAAAATAATGTTAAATAATTTGTATCAAAAATTAAACGCTTTTTTATTTCATATTTCTAATTTCAGTAATAAAAATACACCCATTATTTCATCATTCTTTTCATCTTTTATTATTTCTTTTTTGAATTACTACTTTTTATATTTTCACTCTCTACTTTTATTCTTTTCATCTTCTTCTACTTCCGATTTTCACTTTTTCTTTTAATCATTCTTCACTTTTCTCTTATTTGCTTTTTCGTTGCATTGTTAATATATTCTTTATCATTATTTACATTATTATTTATTATTTTTATTATGCTTTCTATTTGTTCATTTTTTATTTTATTATTTAATTTATTATTTATCAAATTAATTAAAATCAATACAACATATAATTAAAATTATATTTGTTTAATTTATTGTGTTTTATTTTATTATGTTTGATTATCATTTCTTGTTTTTTTGATATTCAATGTTTTATTCTTTTATTTTAATATTATATTTTTCATAGTTGTAGTTTTATTCATTTGTATTGTCCATGATGATGGTGTTCTCAGTATTTGTTTTGTATTTATCATTAATATCATTGTTTTCTTCTGCTCAATTTCTAAAAAATAAACAATAAATTGTTGATGATTTGATGTTAATTGATTTTGTTCTTCATTTTCTCTTTGTGTATAGTTTAATTCTTTTTTTGTTTTTCTTCAATCTCATACTTTTCAATTCTACTTTTTTGATATTCAATGTTTTGATTTTATTTATCTTTTATGTTATTCATCAACATATCATCATCATTCTTCTTCTCACCAATATTCAATTTCTCATAACTAAATAGGAGAATGATAATTTCATCTTTATTTCATATTTTATGTTATTTCTATTTAATTTGTAATGAATTATTTTATTATTTAAATTTAGAGTTTTCTTATTTCATTATATGTAGTTTGAATCTTGTTTATTTGTGTTTGAATCTTTTTATTCTCTTCTCAGTTTGTGTTTTTTGAATTATTTCATTTGAAATGGTTCGTTCTTCTTCTTTCTTTTTTGTTTGAAGTTATTTAATATTTTCTTCTATTTCTTTAATTTTATTCTAATGATGTTAATTTATTATTTGTTGTTATCTTCTTCTTTATCTTGTTTTTTTATTTATTTTCTTTTTCATTTATTATTATTGCACTTTTATTTCATTTCTTTGTTTTTTGTTTTTGATTCATTTTTCATTA